CACTACCATACAACATCCAGATTATCTGCTTTAAACTGGATTATATGGCAGTGTAGACTCATAGAATACAGTTCAAACAGATAATGTGGATTATTTGCTTTGATAAACTGGATTATACAGCAATGTAGAAGGAGCCAGAGTTTCTATTACACAATGCTACAATTGCAAATTTAGAGCAAGCATCCAGTGCCTAATATGGTCAATTTTCCTGATATCACTTCAATTGTTGCAGTCTGATGTGGACAAGATGTTGATGCTTGAATGGGTTCATCCCACCACATGTAAGACCATCTTGGCTGATAAAATCTATCAGAGCTGGATTGTTTGGAGGTGGTGAATGCCTGACTGTATCAGGAGGAGATGTCTGCTTCTTTATAGGGCGTTAAGATGTATAATCTCCAGAAGAGAACCACTCTGGATTAAAAGGCATTGCTGTTATTCTGATTTGGAAGTCAAGTGCTTGAGAATGTGGTGGCTGGGCAAGTTCTAATATTCTTGAAGGAACAAATGGTTTACACCTGTTTCAATCTGGCTTTAGGCCAGGGCACATCACTGGAATGACCTTAATTTGTGTTATGCCTCCTTCTGAAATCTTAGAGGGAAACACAATAGTTTGCCTGACTGATGGCCTACCCCAGGTTAAAGACAGAGTACATTACTCTGTTGGTCTTCCTGGACATTTCAGTGGCTTTTGATGCTATTGGTAATGGCTTTATCAGAGGGAGGCAGAGAGCTTTTGTTACAATGATTCTATTTCTACTTGCACAGCTAGTTGCAGACAACAGCACTTCAGGATGAGAGTTCAACTCTATGGTCATTAAGCTGTAGAGTGCCAGAGGTCTCTATCTCATCCTCGTATGAGTTTCTGGATAAAGCCATTGGGGGATTTGGGGGTGAGGTGCCATCAGTATGGTGGTGTCACTCAACTTCACAACTCCTAGCCATTGGAGTTAGCTACACCTCTGCATGTTAGGTGCCTGAATCTAAACGAGATGGAGGCTCTATGGATCAGTGTTTCTATATTTCTTATATCTGAGAAGTTACCTGTGTCAGATCGTATTGCACTCCACTGAAGGAGAGGATGTGTAGCTTGGGAATTCTCCCAGATCCATCTTTATTGCTGGAGGCCCAAGCAGACTTTGTAACATTGTAAAGAATGCTTGATGATAGCTTTGACTAATGAACCATCTGTGGGCTTTCCTGGAGATGGATAATTTAGCCACTGTATCAGTCCCATAGTGGTAGCTTTCCAATTAGATGGCTGTAATGTACTCTATATGGGACTGCCCTTGAAAATAACTCAGAAGCTAGTGCAAAATGTAAGATTGTTGAGTGGAGGATCTTATAGATACTCATACCTTATAGCAACTACATTGGCTGCCAATTCTACTTTTGGTGATGCTATTAAACACTTTAAATAATTTGGGATGTAAATACCTGAAGAAACCCCTATGTGCTTGCAAACTGCAGGAAGGCTCGTTTTCTGTGTCTGATCGGTGAAAGAAATACATTGTGCATGGATATGGGGGTGGTGGGCCTTCTTGACTGTAGCACCCCTTTGTCAAATGATCTTACTTTGGAGGTTTGATTGGCCTCGGTGTTGGTTTCTTTCTGGTGCCAAGCTCAAACATTGCTTTTTATTAAAGTCTATGATATCTGTTGCATTGATTTATTGTTTAAATTATTGCAGTGCAATGTATTTTAATTGTGCTATATTTTACTTCTGTCTTTGTTGGGCTTGCTCCCCATGAAAGCCAGCCTGAGTCTCTTCAGGGAGATGGTGGTGGGATATAAGAAAAAAGTTATTATTATTATTATTATTATTATTATTATTAATAATAATAATAATAATTTATGTGGCCTAACTGAAATGTACATGCACATGTTGTAGCCTTTTAGACTGTTTTACCCTTATTCAGTTCCTTTAGATTATTTATAATATTGTATATGTAAATCACCATCAAGGCCATGTCTACATTGCAATATAATATGGACATGTTTTCCATACAAAAGATAACGACTGGATGCCTAGCCATGTCATATTTTTATATTACTGTATATTAACACATGTTGTGAACCGGCCTGAGTCCCTCCTTGGAGGTGAGAAGACCGGTATATAAAGCTTCTAAATAAATAAATAAATAAATAAATATCATCGAGAAAAATGATGTCACCAACAAGTCTATGCAGGGGAGCTGCTTGTAGCCAACAACACAATGGTAGTGATAGCCCCAGTGCACCCTTGATTCAGCCAGTTCTCTGGTGGCTGTGACAGACACTTCTGGGCTTCACTAGGGCAGCTCTAGAGCAGTTCCAAATCAAGTGGGTAAGTGTAGACACTGTCTAGATACTGCAGTAATGGCAGGATATAAGTGTTTTAATAAAATAAATATGTTTTGGAGAAATAAATTTGTTGAATAAATGGATATGTGCATATGTGTAAGTGGACGGGTGTTGGTGTTGGGAATATTCTGTGCCTCCAACTATAGTTGTAATGCCAGTGGCTAAATTGGTAGTGTTTTCACTTTGCAATAACCCACATGGCCATCATAATGCATAGAAAAAGACTACAATTTTATTAGCAACAACCCGGAAAGATGTGGACATACATTGAGTGACATGACTGTTAGCTGATGATCCATTGCTCAGCTAGAATGACATACATGGAATTTTGTGAACCCCAACCATCTAAGAGTGAAGCTAGACAAGATACACCACAGTTACACCTGAAGTTTGCATATAGGAATGCCTAACTGGGTGTGATGATCCATTCAGTCATTTCTCCTCACAAATCTGGATATGTCTTTATACAATAATTGCCATCTGAACGATAACTCCATGCTAAGTGGATCTTGGGAATATTCAGAAAACTGTCCCCCAGCTGAACAGCTCATGTTTGGATTGGTCATAAATGCTTGCAGGAACTGCTTACACATATGTTACAATGTTACTGGTGACCAGTACAAAGATGGTGCCCCACAGCATTTACACCTCTTGCTGTAGACTGCTACTCCACCGTTCAGGTGACTTTGAGTGACAACTTCATGTTCACATACATTAATCTTAAATTCAATTTCTTTCTCACTTAGATATGAGGATATTTGTGGGTTTTGTTAGATTCTTAGAAAAACAATAGCAATGTGAAACAAGATTCTCACCTATCCCAGTCACCAACTTAATGCTGGCCTTTTATTAGAATGAATTATTTACAACTCCCCTTCCCCCCAAATAAATCCTTGAATTCAAGTCCTTTGGAGTAAACTTTCTCAGATTAAGGGGATGAATATCTTCTCAGTTACACTGTATCTTTCACAGCCACCAAGCATGTTCCAAAGTTTATTGAAAGCATGTTAATATAGGCTCTGCTATTTGTTTTATCAAATACACAAAAGATCTAAAGGCAGCCCTTTCAAATCATTTAGAAATGTTCAGAGATTATTTTTTTAGTCGTGGAAGCTTGTTCTTTAAAAGGGATGTTGTATGGCTAAGTGCAAAAGGTTCACTTTTTTCAATGTGTAATAATGGCAATTTAAGTGAGTGACACAGATCAGAAGTCCATGGTAACAACAGTTTAATAGTTCCCTTATCTAGTATACTGACGCCCTTTTCTCAAGAAGCTATTACAAATTTTCCAGGTTGCAAAATGATTGGTTTTAATCTTTAATATGGTTAAGCAGCAGGGGGCAGATAGATATTTTAACATATAAAAAGCAAAGCTAAGTAGTGTTTAATATGTCCAAAGAATGTCTCTTCTGTCTGTTGCCTCTGGCTTTTTGGACTAATTTGTTCTGCATATTAGTGAAATATTGACAATTCTGAAGGTTTCCTTAGGGATAGGATAGTTTCTGAGCTTGGCCAGGAGTTGGTAAAACTGAAATAGAAGGTCTGTCCTAAGTCATTCACTTACCTGGAGTGGAGAAGCAACAGCCTCATCTTCTTCCTCATCTTTCTCTCCCCCACCCCTCCTCCATGACAAATGGTATTCCATCTATCCAAGTCTAGCCTCTTCACATGGGCCAAAAATTGGCGGTGAAGAGTATTTTTTGCAGTTTTGCCATGGACCCCTCCAGCTCCCATCACACACCGGAAAAGTACTTTTGGGATGGCTCCATGCTGAAAGTGCCAAAAAAATCCCTGCTGCCACCAAAAAATAACTGGCGTCACATGACAGGAGGCTTTCTGTCTTTCCATAGAGAAAGATGGGTTGAGCCAGCTTCTTGAGACTTCCCCCTGTGTGATGAGGTAGGGAGGAAGCCAGGACAGTGCAGGGTGACAGGTCCCCACATCCCTTGGTCAGGTGCCATCAGGATCACCAGGATCCGTGGGGGATACTCAGTGATTCCAGCAGCACATGTGAAGAGGTTCCTAGATTGTAAAGGCTGTTCTAGAGCTCTGCCATTAAACAAAAGGAATGCCAAGGTGTACACTAAAGTTGGCCAGGCATTAAATAACTTATGTCTCCATGACATGATGAGTTCTGTCATCTTGTGCCTCATGCAAAGTCTTCCGGTCTCAGACCATGAAGGCCATCAAAAGAATACCTTCCCACGCAATGAAGTTCACCACACTTGTTTGGGTTCGCAAAATGCACACATGCTTACCATCTCTGTTTCTCTCACACAAACACATCTTCTTTTATATAGAGATGGAAACACATAAACACACATGCACACAGTCTTCCCTTCACAAAAGTACACAAATTCCCTGTCTTCCTCTTACATATGCAGATGCACACTCTTCCATTAGCCCTCTCACAAACCTGGTTAAATAAATATGGCCAAAACAAGTATTAGTTTTAAAGTTACTATTGGTGAGAACTTCCATTGATGTTCTGAATCTGTGTATATTCTGGAACAATTGGTATACCATGAACCCTGTAGGTTCCTGGGCTATTCTTGTATTTTCCAAGAAGTTTGAAGGGAATTTACTTTGGGGTTTCATTTGGTTTCTGAACCTTGTAAAATGAGTACCTAACACCAATCTCTTTATATCTTCTCCAGTCACTTTAGCCACCACTCGAGGAGAAGAAACAGCAAATGAAGAGCCATAGGCATATGCCTTCTGCCTCTGAAATCACAGCTGGCTTCACAACTCTTCTCTGTTCCCCCGCTGCCTCCTATGCCACAGAGCAGGTGAGAATGCCAGAATCAATCTGTAATTATAGGGAAATTTACACTTTCCCTGGGAGTTAATATACTTCATTCTAGGCAGTTTTATAGTAGCCAGCAAGGCTTAAACTGAAGCTGATGATCGTAACAATAAAATAATAGTATTTTTTTCCTTGCTGGAAATATGGCTTTTAACAAAATTGCATTAAGAGAAAGGACTGCTCTAGGACCTGGTATGGAAGGTACTTAAAGAGCCATTATCAGCTGAATCCTGGTGAAGTGTCAGGTTCATTTACTTTCTGAACTGTATAAATTCAAAGATATGTCTCCTTTGTAGTGTGGTTCACACTTCTGCACACAAAGTTAGTAAAATGTGATTTCATTTTGTCTGCTCTTAAGAGGCATATTTGGTTTAAACAATGACAATTTAACAGGCAGAAGCTTCCTAGATACATGTAAACAAAGGGATTTGGCATTGCTTGATATAACGGGCTAAATCAGAGAGAAAATACTTTTAAATACAGCCCTTTAGATCTGAGTTTTCCAAACAGTGTATGGCAAAAACATAACAAGAAACCCCTGAGTCCATGTGAAATAAACAACAAATCATGTGTGTGTGTGTGTATACAGTATATATATGAAAGGTTTTCATGAGATATGTTGTGTCCCTATTCATTTCATTATTAAAGTTGATGTACTTTGTCTGTACCTCTTATAAGGGGTTGGTTCAAACTCCGGTTTGCTAGTCAATTATGTCTATCTTAAAAGATGTGTCACCAGCATGCAATGTTTTGAAAGCTCTGCTTTAGTTGTTGCTGTACTTTATATTCCATCAGCCTTAGCCAATGTTGTTAACAGTGAGGAATCATGGAAACTCCGCTCCAGCAACATCTCAATTGCCATGTTTCTCACTTCTGATCTAAATTCTGTTGCTAGTATGAACTAGGGCCCCCTGGTGGTGCAGTGGGTTAAACCGCTGAACTGCTGAACTTGCTGACCAAAAGGTTGGTGGCTTGAATCTAGGGAGCTGGGTGAGCCCCTGCTGTTAGCCCGAGCTTCTGCCAACCTATCAATTTGAAAACATACAAATGTGAGTAGATCAATAGGTACCGCTTCAGCAGGAAGATAATGGAAGCAGGAAGATAATGCAGGAAGATAATGCAGTCATGCTAGTTACATGACCTTGGGAGTGTCTATGGACAACGCTGGCTCTTTGGCTTAGAAATGGAGATGAGCACCACCTTCCAGAGTTGGATACAACTAGATTTAATGTTAGAGGAAATATTTACCTTTACTTTTAGTCTTAACTAGAGTATGGTTCATTTACTTACTTTTTATTGAACGTATACATCAGCTTTCTCCCAGGATGGGATCCAAGAAAAGTTACAATAATTTAAAAACAAGATGTTAGAAACTTATTATGACTCAAATGTAAGCCAACTGTCTTTGGGAAAAAAGCGAACATCTTGTTCCATTGCAGGAAGATAAAAATGCTGCATGTTATTTTTTTTTCTGGTGAAAAGTCTGTGTCTGACAGGTACACAACTTCATCTCTCTCTGTATTCTAATGCAGCAAAGCAATAGTACAAAAATACAGGGAAGAACACAACCAAAATCTTTCCCAAACAAACTTGTCCTAAAATGTGACCCCATCATTTGAAAGAGTGGTAAACATATATGTAATACAAGGCTTTGAAGTCTGGCGGCAGGGAGGGGAGGGGAGGGAATGGGGGACGAACAAAACACATTGTAAAAGACATTTTCCTTTGGCAGAAATACAACCATTACCAAGGAACTTTAGTGCTACCTATAATGATCTGTCATGTGTCTCATTGTCCTTGCCTAGGGCACTTCCAGACAGTGCCAAAACGTGGGATTAATATGTGGGATTAACAAACCCGAGACCTCTGAGCAGGTTCCCACACAGAACTGCTGGTCCTGGGCTTTCTTCCCCTGCTGTCCTCTTAGCCCTTCTGTGTCTTGGGATAAAATGGAGGGCAGATGGGAGACATCCGCTGGAAGTTTTTGTTTTTAAATCACTCAGTTATGCACTGAGTGATTTAAAAACAAAATTTGTTTTTAAATCACTCAGTTATCACATATACACACATGTGATTAACCTAACACAAATATGGAGGGATTCTATGTGTGCATATACATATCAGCGCATAACGGCTGGAGTTTTTTAGCTCACGTTTAGCACAAATGTTATCTGGCCATTCTGTTTAACACATTATCTCACAAATTATAGGTACTATGTGGAAGTGCCCCCAGAGATTTGTCCATCTGAACAAAATCTGTGGTCAATCTGGTACATGGAAGATGGAGAGGAGGGGAAAGTTGTTGAACTTATGACAGCACTACAATTGAATTAGTCAATAAAACTCTAAAAGTGGATTTTATGGAGACCTACAGACAATGCCATCATGAGTCTACAGAGTGCCCTTTCTGAGCAGAGCTTGTTTGTACTACAAACCCAGAATCTCTGATTGAGAATAGCCTATGTACTCAATGAGTAACTTGTCTGAGGTGTGTTTATCTCTATGACCCATTGACCAAGCCATGGCAAGACCCTGGGCATAAATACTGATTCCACTCAATACTTATGAACTAATTCTGTCATTTCTGAAGAGATTTTTTTTTATATATAAAATGGTCCCTTCTCAAACAATGTTTCTTTTATGCCAATTGATTTAACTTGTTTTTCAGTGTGTTTACTGGGAAGAAAGCTATTCATTCATTTGTTCATTAATTTAATTTGTGAATTACAAAGCACAAGAAAGCACATGAAAATCCATAATCCATATAACAAATTAAACAAGTCAATATAAACCATAATTAAGATAACACGGTAATACAAATGCAAGTATTCAAGCATAATATGGAAGCAACACAATATTAAAAATGGTAATCCACAATAGATAGAATACCCACTACCCATATTCTTAAAGAGTGGAAGAAAATAGACTCAGTCATGGCAGTTTTATATGTTCAAAACTTATAGAGCTGAGGGGAAAAAACCACTCTCCCAAAAGCCTCTTTTCCTTAAACAATGACTTTAGGTAGAATTAATGTTGGAATAGGAATGGAAAGCTAATGATTAACCCTTCCCTTCTTAGTTGCATATCTACTGTGATTCTCCAGAAACAGATTTGTGGATACCTTTTCCACATAGAATCCAGAGCCATAATTTTAAGAATTATAAGACTGTGAGGTATATTGCAACAGACAGGGAAAACAGGATTAAGCAAGTTTCACATTCAAGTCACTTACCCTTGGGTCTTGTTTGCAATGTAACATGTACATTTTCTCCACATGTATCCCAGTAATATGAGGTCATGCCACATCAATTGTATCCTAGAATCAAGGAATGTTAATCAAGGAGTTTTGACTATCAGGCAAGTTTTGCAAAGACTTTTTTTGTTGTTTTCTGTCTTTAAGTCATTTCCGATTTATGTCAACCCTAAGGTGAGTCTATCACATGGTTTTCTTGACCAGATTTATGGAGGGGGAGCTTGTTGTTGATGATGTTGTTATATTTATTTATTTACTACTTTTCTTGTAGGGCTGGGACTCTCAAAGGAAGATAAAGGAAGTCTCTGCCTTTCTTTGATGCTGAGAGAGAGTGGGACTTGTCGAGGTCACTCATGGTTTCCATGGCTGCGTGAGAATTTGTACTCTGCTGTCCAGAGCTGTAGTCCAATACACCTTTACAAATGTGAACTAGCAGTGCCCTAGAATAGTGTAGGCTCAAACCAGTACACTTTTACAAATCTGAACTAGCAGTGCCCTAGAATAGTGTAGGCTTTGGGGCAACCACACCTGGCAAGGCTTTCTCCTTGATGCTGTCCCAGTTATGGAATTATGTATTTTATAGCAATATGCTTTAATATATGGTGATGTGTTTTAACTGTGTTGTGTCTCACCTCAAGCCATGAGGAGAGGTGGGTAACAAATGACATTTTTAATATTAGTATTAGTAAAGTAAAGGCAAAGGTTTCCCCTGACATTAAGTCTAGTCATGTCTGACTCTGGGGGGTGGTGCTCATTTCCATTTCTAAGCCAAAGAGCTGGTGTTGTCCGTAGATGCCTCCTAGGTCATGAGGCCAGCATGACTGCATGGAGCACCATTACCTCCCCACAGAAGCAGTACCTATTGATCTACTCACATTGCAGAAGCTTACCCTGCTCCCCAGGTTTGAACCACCAACCTTTCGGTCAGCAAGTTCAGCAGCTCAGTGGTTTAACCCACTGTGCCACCAAGGGGCTAGTATTAGTATTATTCTCTTGTATCAGAAATCTGGTTGCTACTAACTCAAACATTTTTGTTTTTCAGGTACCACTTTAAAACACATATCTGTATGCAAACATTTAATGAATAAAAGCAATGACTGATTTCTCTTTGGTGCTTTTAAAGTATTTTAACAATGTTTTATAATTTTAGCTAAAGTAAGCTGTTGTAGCTTTACATGAGATTTTTGCTATTTCAGTTAATTTGTGTTTTTGAACCCATGTTTTCTGTAAATTGAGAGTTTGACCTCTTATGAAGTAGGGCAGAATATTTCTTTTTTTAAAAAAAGCATATTACTCTGCTGGGCAGATGCCACAGCTATGACGCCACTTTGAATAACATTGCAAGTCAAAGTGGTGATCTATGATCTATGAACCAGTGCTGTTCTATGAGTTTTGGCTGATGACCTCTGGTGTGTCTCCAAGAAAGGAAGAAATAATTACAGCCAGTGGGTACAAATACAGAATCAATATCTAGAACACTGGCAGGAATGGAGGATAACTGACAGTTCCACAAGTCAGATAGCTTGAAGCTTTCTGATTTAGTGAACCTTAAATATTTCATAATTATACACTGGGATTCAGTTTCAACCAATTCCTTTCAGTCTTCCCTTATGAAAGCGTTATGCTGATCCAGAATACAACTGAGAAATCCAGAATTTTTGGTGTAGCTGTCATTGGGAAGCAGTAGCATATTCACTTTTTAAAACTTGCAGCAAAGAAGCACTATTGGG